ATGTTTATGCATCTAATTAATTTATTCAGATATTTTAAATCTTTATAAATATCTATCAGGTTTTTACATTTTCTTTCTTTATGTTGAGTTGGTGTCATGTGATTAGGAATTATTTTAATTGCTGCTTTCATAATTCCTTCATGAATAAGGTTCCAATAATGATTGAGGTTTCTTATATCATGATGTTCATTATTTTGAGTTGGAGATCCTCAAATTGTTTATTTGTTTCTTTTTTATAATTGTTCCAGAGTTCATCTGTCATTGAATCATATGAGAAAATTCTTTTTTTCATTCCTTGTTGTTTCAAAGTTGCTAATTGTTTTTTTTTGAAAAGGTTATTGGTCTGAAAACTTATAATTAATGCATTATGATCAGTGTTGTATATATCGGGTGACCAAACATTACAGTTGATTGTCTCTACTATTAAATCTTGTGATATCCAAATGAGATCTATTCTGCTGGAAGTTTTATTTGTGTCTTTTGGGATATATGTGTTGTATGGATTTGATAGTGTAATATCTTTATATTATTCAATTGTGTCAACTAAATTGTAACCATATAACTTATTTAAAATATTATATTTCCAATGGTATCTTTGTCTTGTATGATATTCTTCTTTATATCTTTCTGGGCTTAAATTAAAATCACCCATAATGATAAGTTTGTAATTATTTTTTTTTCCTTGGTCAATTAAGGTTATTATATAATGATGTAGATCTGTTATTTCTTTTTTATTTCCAGTAAAATTAGCTTGTAGATAGACTTGAATAATTCTCAATTTTATATGCCCTTTCATGAAGAGGTCCAAATAAATCACTCTTCCTTGGTAACCAATTACTTTTTGGACATATTTTGAGTATTCCTTCAAAATTATAATGCCAACGCCTGAACCAAATGGATTTGGAGAGTCATTATTAAAGTAAGGAGTGTATTTTTCATTATTTTTATATATTATTTTTGATTGTATTTTATTTAATTTGGTTTCTGATAAACCTAAAATATCTATTTTACTGATATTCATCATATCAATGATTTGATGTTGTTTTGTTTCTGAATTTAGTCCTTGGATATTTTGTGTCATAATTTTAAAAGGGTGTTTTATGTTTCTATTATTTGTATTATTATTATTGTTTGTATTATTCATATTGATAAAATATTATGATGATGTGTTTTCTAAATTAATAGATATTTTTATCAGAATTGATTTCTTCTGTATCTATATACTCAACATTGTCGTTGTTATTTGGATTAGGATTTCCATAAACTTCTAATACATCTTTTAGTTGTGTCTGCATTTCATTTATTCCTTGGATTAATTTATCCTGTGTATTTTTGATACTTTGTGTTTCTTTTTGTAGTTCTTTTTCTGATTTGTTGTCTGGGTTGATTGTATCATCAGAAGAAACATCTACCTCTTATTGGACATTGGTTGTGTTTCATGATTATTAAATTTTCTAGGTGGATTTGTAATTTTAAATTTCTGTTCAATTATCATTATTCTGTCAGTTAGATTATTAACTTGTGATGTTAATATTTTTAAGGATTTTTGGATTTCTGAAAGAATAGAGTGTAATTCTGGATTTTTCTTTTCATGCATTGAACCTCCAGATGTAGTACCATTTTTTAAAGTATTTTGTTCATCCCCATTGTTGATATGTTGTTTAGAGATATTTTTATCTTTGGCCACTTCAGCATATGATTTGGGCAATTTACGATGCTGGGTAAGTCTAAATTTACTGTATAATTTTTTCATTTTATTTTCTTTTGGGTTGTTATTATTTCTGTTGTTACGGCCACATATTTTAGCAATGTGATCAGGTGATCCACATATATGACAAGTTTTGGTATCTTCTCCACACCAATAAAAAGTTGTAATCTTTGGCTGTTGCGTTAAATAAATCTTCATCTGTTTCACAATTCATGTAAGCATATGACAAACCTTGTAATTGTTCGGGTGCAGCAATAATATCATGCAAGTCTCTTGCAGATGTTCCTGTAGGAAAGTCAGAGAGTTTAATACTGTAAATTCTTCTATTATTCCTCTGTTCTTCATCTAACGTCAGAGGAATAACACGAGTAGAGTCTTTGAGAATGTATACAGACCATGTTTTTGTGTGAAATTCTTGTATGTTTTGGCTTTCTGCAAAAGTAATAAAAGCATGTTGATATAAACCACGTGTTTGCACTGATAATTTGACAATAGTCCCAAATCTAGAAAATGTTGAACGAATAATAGGGGTTTTGATATCCAATGGAATATCACACACCTGAATTGTGCATGCATTAATTTAATTAATTTGTTCGTTGTGTTGTTTGTTTCTAATTTTGTTGATTTTAACATATTAATAACAGTTATTTTCAGAAATTTGAATTGGTGTTCCAATTGCTAAATTGAGATCAGTTTGGTTATCAAAAAAAATTGCTATGTATTTTTTTTTGTTGATGGTTCGAGTAGAGGCTCCAGTATAACCTGCAGTTTTAGCAAAAATTATCCCTATATTGATGATTTTTTCACGAGGGTGTTTACCTTTAATTTTTTCCAAAGGAGCCACTGCTATGTATGTAGTCTGTTTTGTGATAACAATAAAATCTCTATCATTATTTCCCATACTTTCATTCATATCAACATCTTCAATTAAAATGTTTTTATTATCATTGATTGTATTAATAGATTCTATTTCTTCTATTTCTTTGTTAGTTTCTGATTGAGATGTATTTTTTTGTTCATTTTCTTGAGAATGCCCTTCTAATTTTTGTTTTTTTTCAGGATTTTGTATAATTTTTTTTCTTTTTTTCCCACCTGAAGATTTTGTCACTCTTGTCATTTTTTCTATTTTTTATTTTATTATAATTTATTGTATTTTATTGTTTAAGTCACCTTTTAACTGTGTATTGACTTGGTTTTACTAACAAAATATTTAATTTATATATATATATATTATTATAATAAACTTTTTTGTCGCATTAAAATCTTTACTTTTTAGAAATTTTCTTTGGTTCAGATATTTTATATATATTATTATAAATAGGAAAACTCTATTAACGCGACCTCGAAATCTGGTTTGTGGATTTTTTCTGTTTAGGTAATGATTTACACTCAATATTAACCTGAATTATAGTGTTGCGGTCACCTTCGCCGTGTAAAAAAGAAGTCCTATTATAATATGACGAGCATTACTAAAAGAGTTTTACTTGCCAATAGTTTGAAACACACAAATAAATATATTTACCTGATACAGAATGTTGAAAGCTTGCGTTAAATTTTCCATTATGACTTTTATACTTACACAATGTATTATTTAACAACTCTTTTTGCCTAATGGTACTTGTCCATTCATCATTCAACATAACTACCATTGGCTAATAGAATACCACTATAGGGAAGCATAATAATTTCATTCCTTCTTTTCCAGTATGCCGACTCATTTACACTAAATTGTTACCGGTCGCATTTACTTCGTCGAAAATTATTTCGTCGACACCCATTTCGTCGACACCCATTTCGTCGAAAGTTCATTTCGTCGAATGTTCGTTTCGTCGAATGTTCATTTTGTCGAAAGTTTGTTTCATCGAATGTTCATTTCGTCAAAAATTATTCATCCTCGAGCCAGAGACCGAAAGAGTTAGATGTGAGGAGTATGGGAAACTAGTTAAGAAATTAGATGAGGAAAGCGGAGTGTGTGGGAGAAATTTGTTTAATTAAATTTTTTTTTTTGTGACGAAATATTTTTCGATGAAATGAACTTTCGACGAAATGAATCAGACCCTTGGGAACCTGCTAAACATTTAAAGAATGCGGAAAGAAAAGTTAAAGAATTTGAATTGACGAGGACGTCAAAACTTAGGGAGGGGAGAATGTAACAATTTAAACGATTATTGATTGATAATAAATAGACTAGCTTATTTATATTTTCATCTATTTATATTTTATCAATCTGTGTAATCTTAATAATATATATAATGAACATTTTCTAAAATAATAAAAAAAATAATTA